TAATAGTTAACCTTCTCCTTCAAAACATATTGAACTTCGCGTATTTCCATAAAAAATAGTAAAGAGATCTAATTTTTAACACAACAATCCCTCACCCTTTGTAATTACCAATATACCGAAAAAAAATACAGTTTATCAATCATATATTGAAAATATAATAAAAAGAAAAACAAAAGATAAACCAGAAAGTCGTAAAAAATACTCTAGTACAATTGATGAGATTAAGGGAAAATAAATTGAAACTGTTTAAGATTGTTTTCTTCCTAAACTTCATTGTTTACATAATAAACCTTAGAATTTGAAATATCGTCATTCATTACCAAAGTAAGAGATCTATACAGAACCGAATCTTTAATAAAATTCATCAGATAGATTATAACCATGGGATTCAAGTTAAAAATCATTTGCTCTCTAATGAAATAAAATTATATTTTTATAGATTTACTATAATAATTTCATATGCATATATTAATAATTGTAAATGTGTGTACAAAAAAGAATGAATATTTGAAGATTAAGATTAAAAATATTAAGATGAGAGATTGGAAAAGAAATACATGACATATTTTAAAAATATGAATTTAAAGTGTTATTTTTAATGTTAATTATAATATTTATTATATATAAATATGCAATATATGTATATTTAACCTTATGAGGCTTTTTTTTAAAAATTCTAAAAAAATGGGAAAATAACAAGAGGAGATTTAGTATCCATATTATAAGCAATGAATTACAATGAGATGTAAATATAAAGTTTGGTATTAAAATTTAATGATGATGAAATAAGTAAAAGTAATTAAATATATAGCTTATAATTAGTTTTTGCTTTGTTTTATGGTTCCAAATTTTCCTGCTTATCGATTCCCAACTTAAACTTAAGCACCTATTCCTCAATAAGTAGATTAAGATTAGAATCAACAAAAATTGACTTAAGAATAACAATAACAAATATATGAAGAATTCAAAACAATTTTAAAAGGATAAGAATATGAAAAAGTGTTAAATTATTTATGTAAAATGATTAATTGTATATTTTTAAGAATAGTACAAGGATATGGATTTAGTGAATATAGTTGATTCGAATAGCAAATAAATTTGTACTTATATAGTGGTTTAATTTGATAATGAAGGATTGGCATTAAAGTTTTTGTCTTTATTGACAGATTTTCGGGTTAATTTAAATTTTAAAGATTCGTTAAAATAATCAATATTATTTTATATATGTAGAGATGGTAAATTGAAATTACTGGATTTTCTATTATCTCAGAATGCAATTAACATAAATGATTAAGATTAATATGGATAAACACCTTTATTTTATGCAGCTAGAGAAAATAAGATTGATATTGTTACAAGGTATATCTATATTATATAAATTAATTAGACTAGTTTAAGTTGGAGCTAATGTTAATCTAGTAGATACATTATCAAATTAAACAGCATTGTTTTATTCAGCAAGAGAAGGACATGCTGAAATTTGTAAAATTTTAATTGATGTAAATTTTTAATTAAATTTAGAATGGTTGTAATCCAAATCATTAAGATTAACATAAAAAAACAGCTTAATTTTTTGCTAAAAGATTTTAGAGAAAAGAAGTGATGGAATTATTTAATTCTTATTTCGGAAAAAATAAAGATGATTATAAAGCAAATTCTATTTATAATAATGAGAATAGTAAAGGAGAACAACTTAAATAATAAAAGAAGAAAAATAAAGATTTACCAAAATAAGCATATAAATTAATGTTTACTGATGAATATGGAAATTTATAAGAAGTAACAGCATCTGAGTTTGCTAAATTTTAATAATAATATCCATAAATAGCTAATTTAATAATAAATGCAGATGAATTAATTGATGAAAATGTTTTAAATTCTATGAAGGATGATGAACTTTGGGAAAAATTAGCCAAAAAAGTTTTACAAATTTTATGGAAAGCAAAAGGAGCTTCATTATTTCATAATCCAGTAGATGAAAAAAAGTATGGTATAAATGATTATTATGATATTGTTAAAAAACCTATGGATTTTGGAACTGTAAAGGTATTATAATATTTATATATGTAAATAGCAAAAACTCAATACAAATTAATATAAAAATTGTAAAGAATTTTATAATGACATCATTTTAGTATTTGATAATTGTGTATTATATAATGGATCAGAAAATGAAGTTGGTCAGATTGGACTCGAATTGAAATAAGAGTTCTTAAACCAAGTTGAATAAACTGGTCTAAAAAAGCATTTATTATGATATATTATATTAAACCATATTTATTAAAAATTTTCTTAATCAAATTTATGTTTATAACAATTATATTTATCTTTCCTTTAATTTCCCATCAAAACCAAATCAAACTAGATAAAACATTATAATTGCCTTTATATTAAGATAATCTAATAGATATTATTGATGAATCAGGATATATATATAAATATCATATTACGAGTAATTAAAAGAATTAAGCTCAATTAACTTACTGTTAAGCAAGACCTTAGAGTTTAGAAATGAGAATAGAGTAGCAACTGAAAGTCACTCATAAAACAGAATAGGATTTTGAGATCAACTTTGTAAATGGCAAATTTTATGGTTAATCAGAATTTATTTAATCAGCAGTCATTAATAATTATGGAATTATAATATTGACAAGTGATAAAAATTTAACATTTATATCCCACTAAGATATCAATCAAAATATTGCTTAGACAGAACACTTTTAAATAAACGAATCTATTGAAAATTCTTATTTAATATAGATAGAAGAGTTAAATCTTTTAATACTTTTATTATAAAGTAATACAGTTTATGAATATGAGATACATAATAATACTTATTATAATAAATCTGTTTAGTTTATTAACAATTACAAATAAGAAATTATAAAGGCAGATCAGATTAAGTGGATAAAGGTTTATTCAATATATATTTTTATATTATCTTTCGATGGAAACCTTACAATTTATAATAGTAAGATGGAGCAGATTTATTAATTTGAATCAAAAGTGTTACATTTTGAATTTGAAATTATTGCTCAATAATTTAAAATATATCTATTGTATTAAAATACAACATTATTGTGTAAAAATATGGAGTTTGATAATTAAAATATTTAAATTGAGGATTAACCAAGAATAATGTTAACAAAGCCAAAAGCGGTGAGTTTCAAATTATATGATAGAGGAGTATTAATGGTGATAGATGATGACAATGAAGGACATATAATAGTAATGAATAAAATTTATATTTAGATAGATTATAAATATGATAAAGAAATCTTAAGAGAGATTAATATGTAATACATAAGCTAAAAAGTAAGGCAAATAGTGATTCATGATATCTACGCATTATTGATAGGAGAAAAGACATAGTTTGTAATTACAATAGGAGTTGATGATATTTATTTGAACTAATAGAATTATAAAATGTAGGCTAATATATTGGTTCCTTAAATCTTAGATGTTTTGAAGTTTACTGATGTAACAAGTTCGGGAATAAAAGATTATATTTATGCTTATACAAGAACATAATTTTTAAAATTAAATTTATCAGCAGTATTAATTTATATTTAAAAGTAGAGGAAATTTGAGATATTTTGTGGTTGTTAAAGTTAAGAGGAAGCATTAAAATCACCGTATCATTATGAATTGGAGTATTACAATAGTAAGTGTGAAGGTTGTCAAAAATAGAGAACATATAAATTATTCTATAAATTTGCAATAATCACAAAGGAAGATGAATCTAAGGTGATTGGATCGATAGTAGTAGGAGTATTGAGCCTAATTGGGATTTTGGGAATTGTGTTATATAAATATTTGGTACATATTCGTCTTTGGAAGAGAGCTTAAGAGAGAGCAATGAAATTAGAAACAACTAATACATCTGCATAGATAGAATTTTCAATAAATGATTCAAAGATTGCATTTGAGTTAGAAGTTGAGAATGAGAAAAAATAATAATGAATTATATATATAAAATCATTAATTTATATAAGAAAAAGAGTATAAAATAGTAACATTAGAACTAATTAAAATAATTATAATGCAAATAGAAACATCATCTTCAAAATGAAGTTAATGATGAAAGAACAAAAAACAAGTAAAAAATAAATTTTATAATGATTTGATACCTTTTAATTATTTTCCTTTAAATAACATAGATCAAACTGTATTCTTAATGGAAAATCAATAAAGGATTATTAAATAATAAAATTAACAGAATATTAAATTAACAATAATCAGATTCAGAAATAGATTTCTCTAATTAATTTAAATTAATATATAAATCACAAAAAAATTAGATTTCAACTAAAAGATCGATATTCATAAAAAAAAATAATACTATTGAAGATTATATTTTAATCTCCGAATAATTAAAATAGAAAATCTCTATATACCAGTTAAAATAATGATCATATTCTATTCAATAATAATAACAATAACATAGATAATAATAATAATCTTTGTTTTAATCTGTGCAAATAAATGATATCAAATCTTTTAAATAACAATTCGAAATAACTTTAGAGGAATGGATAAATTTGGTAATAGATTTCCTTTTGGATTTTAAAGAGAGAAAAACTATTAGGAAGAGATGGTTTTTCAATAATTTGGTTAGGTAAAGATGTAAAAGGAGGTGCATTATGTGCTATTAAATAGATAACTAGAAAATCTAAAGATTAAACTCATTTTAAAGAATTAGCTTTTTGTAATTAGTTCCTTAATAAAGAAAGTTGAATAAAGAATTAATGTTAATAAAATAATGGTGTTAAGAATCTAAGTAAATTTTTGATTATATTGTTGATTCTCATGATGTATTCATTATATATGAAGTTAGTGGATATTTATTAGGCACTTAATTATATGATTTTAAATCCACCAATAATAATTATAAGGTTAATTCCATAGAAATTAAGTTTACTCTTTAAGTAGTTTCCTGTCTTATTATTAAAGTTTATTAAAAGAATTACAAAAACTATATAATTGTGATATTAAAGTGAATATATACTCATCTCCTATGGATAATAAGATATTGACTTCAAAATTAAAGATAATAGTTCCTCTTTTAAATTTATTGAAGTCACATTTATATTAAAAGAAAATTAAATGTCATATAATAATCAATTAATAAATATCTTATCAAATATGCTAAAACTTGGGTTATTTACATCTGGGGATTAAAATGTGTTATTTTAGAAATTTTCAGGATTACCATTATGGATGAATTATGATACTTAAATTATCAATCATTAAGGTTATAAACTTATTGTTCAAGGCCTATTTGCTGTCCCTGGGAGAAGCTTTAGTAAAAATGTAGAAGAATAAATCCAAATTCTAAACAAACTAACTTGTTTAAAGAAAATAATATTATTCTATTATTTAATTTAAAAATTAAATAGAAATATTTTGATACATTTATATTATATACTATTTTCATAATTAATTAATATATAACTTTCTTATAAAAAAAATATCATTTGCTTTTTCATTACTTAAAATCAATTTTAAAATTATATATTTAAAAGTGAAATTAAATTTAATTTCTATATATTAGATACACTATTTTAATCCTTTAAGTTTAAAAAAGTTAAGATAAAAAACCAAATTCATTTTAATTTATAAATTAATTAGAAATTATATTCTATGATGATTTATACGAAAAAAAAGATCTTCAAAAGGATTAATTCGAATCTTAATTCACAAACAAATATTACTAATAGTTTAAAATTATTATTTTTGGTAAAAGAAAACAATTAGACAGAATTTATATAGTTGAAAAGATTATACATAGGTTTCTGTATTAATAAATAATAGTTTTATGAGTAGGAAACTATTAATAATATAGGGATAATTATGGAGCATAAATTAGTAAAATAGAGAAATTCTTCATAAATATGTCTAAATATTATTTTAAAGAAAAGAATTAACTTGGTAGAAGTATTGTAATTTTAAATTAGATTAAATGATATATTCAATATGGCTAATAAAGAAGAAACGAAATAATATATAGTGTTTTTTGGATTGGTTATATGGGAAAGCCTAAAATAAGAGCTGAGGGAGATATCAATATAGATATAACATTTTAATAAAGGAATAAATAAAATTTAATTGATTTAGTTAAATAAAGAGGATGATTAAAATGAGTTTAATAAAGATAATTGCACTGAGATTGCATAGATTTTTATAAAATATTGGATTATTAGTGATTAAAAGAAATAAAACAATTAGTGAAGGATAGATAATTAATTATTAAAAATGAAAATAAAAAATCATGACTTTGATAATGAATTAGTACTGAATTTTAAAATAAGAGGTTGAATTTTATAAAATTATTTACTAAGTTATTGTATTAAATATTAATATAATAAATATCTAAAATATGGCTGCATCTGATTATGATTAATTCCGAAAGATTAAAATATTAGGATAAGGTGCTTTTGGTAAAGCAATATTAGTAGAGGATATCAGAGATGGGTATTAAATTTATATGATTCTTAGCACTTAATGGGTCAAGAAATAAATTGATATAAGTTAGATTCCCTAAAAAGAAAAAGAAGAAACAATAAAAGAAGCAAAAATATTACAACATTTAGANCTATTTTCATAATTAATTAATATATAACTTTCTTATAAAAAAAATATCATTTGCTTTTTCATTACTTAAAATCAATTTTAAAATTATATATTTAAAAGTGAAATTAAATTTAATTTCTATATATTAGATACACTATTTTAATCCTTTAAGTTTAAAAAAGTTAAGATAAAAAACCAAATTCATTTTAATTTATAAATTAATTAGAAATTATATTCTATGATGATTTATACGAAAAAAAAGATCTTCAAAAGGATTAATTCGAATCTTAATTCACAAACAAATATTACTAATAGTTTAAAATTATTATTTTTGGTAAAAGAAAACAATTAGACAGAATTTATATAGTTGAAAAGATTATACATAGGTTTCTGTATTAATAAATAATAGTTTTATGAGTAGGAAACTATTAATAATATAGGGATAATTATGGAGCATAAATTAGTAAAATAGAGAAATTCTTCATAAATATGTCTAAATATTATTTTAAAGAAAAGAATTAACTTGGTAGAAGTATTGTAATTTTAAATTAGATTAAATGATATATTCAATATGGCTAATAAAGAAGAAACGAAATAATATATAGTGTTTTTTGGATTGGTTATATGGGAAAGCCTAAAATAAGAGCTGAGGGAGATATCAATATAGATATAACATTTTAATAAAGGAATAAATAAAATTTAATTGATTTAGTTAAATAAAGAGGATGATTAAAATGAGTTTAATAAAGATAATTGCACTGAGATTGCATAGATTTTTATAAAATATTGGATTATTAGTGATTAAAAGAAATAAAACAATTAGTGAAGGATAGATAATTAATTATTAAAAATGAAAATAAAAAATCATGACTTTGATAATGAATTAGTACTGAATTTTAAAATAAGAGGTTGAATTTTATAAAATTATTTACTAAGTTATTGTATTAAATATTAATATAATAAATATCTAAAATATGGCTGCATCTGATTATGATTAATTCCGAAAGATTAAAATATTAGGATAAGGTGCTTTTGGTAAAGCAATATTAGTAGAGGATATCAGAGATGGGTATTAAATTTATATGATTCTTAGCACTTAATGGGTCAAGAAATAAATTGATATAAGTTAGATTCCCTAAAAAGAAAAAGAAGAAACAATAAAAGAAGCAAAAATATTACAACATTTAGATCATCCAAATATAGTTAAATTTAAAGATGTATTTGCAACAAAGTAAGGTAAATTATGTATTGTTATGGAATATGCTGATGGTATTAAGTTATGATATTTTCTAGGAGGTGATTTAGCTTTGAAAATTAAAAATTAGTAAGGAAAATTATTCAAGGAAATTCAAATTATTGATTGGTTTACATAAATATGTTTAGCATTAAAACATGTTCATGATAGAAAAATTATTCATAGAGATTTAAAAGGATAAAATATCTTTTTGACTAAATCAAATAGAGTTAAATTAGGAGATTTTGGTATTGCTAAAATTTTGGGTAATACATTAGAGAAGGCAAAAACTCAAGTTGGAACTCCCTATTATTTATCACCAGAAATAATTGAATCAAAACCTTATTCTCAAGCTGTAATTTATATCTATAACTTAGAGTGATATATGGTCTTTAGGCGCTATTTTATATGAATTATGTTCTTTAAAACCTCCTTTCCTTGCTGATAGTTTACATTTCTTAGCATTAAAAATAATTAAAGGATAATTTACACCAATTCCTAATACTTTTTCAAAAGAAATGAATAATTTAGTCAAATCATTACTATAATTATAACCAACAAAAAGACCTAATATAAATTAAATTTTAAGTAACTAATTTTAATTCTATTTTTTCTAGGAATGCCAATTATAAATACTAGAATGAAAGAATTTTTAACTGAAAGTTAACAACAAGTAGAATTTGCTCATACTATTTTACATAAATAGGTAATTTTATAAAATAACCTTACTATAGAAAATAAATTTTTAAGCCAAAATATCTGATTTAAAATTAATTGATGAAGACAATCTTAGACCACCTCCTAATTTATTAAGTAAATAAAATAGTAGTTAATCTTAATAATCATTGAAATAACCATAATAATAATAATAATAATAATAATAATAATAATAATAATAATAATAATAATAATAATAATAGTAATAACCATAATAATAATAATAATAGTAATAACCATAATAATACTAATAATAATAATAGTAATAGATTTAGTAATAATATGTAGCTTAATAATAATTTATTCCAAAATAAGTTTATAATTAAATATAGTAATAGTAATAATAAAAATTTTAATAATAACAATAACCTCTAATTTAATAATAGTAAATATAAAGAAACAATTTACAATAAAATAGAAATTTGTAAGGTAGATAATAAGAGAAAGCATTAATTTAATAACATATTCCTTAATAATCTAAATAACCTGTATAATAACCAAGAAGGGAACAATAAAAACCAAATTCTGCTGCTTAATTATAAAAATAAAGAAATAATAGCAAGAATAAATTAGTAGATATTGAAAAATAGGAATAAGAAAGAAAAAAGATGCAATAAATAAAATTAGAGGCTGATCTTAAAAGAAAAGAAGAGGAAAAGAAAAAATTAATTAAACTTTAGCAAGAAGAGGAGGATAGAAAAAGATTAAGGGAAGATTAAAAAAAGAAAAGAGAATAGTAATAAAAGGAAATGAAAGATGATATAAAAAAAAGAAAATAATAATTTTATCAATAATAATAAAGTTAACCAAATTTAGAAAATGAGCCAAAATATATTGTTAGACATGCAATTTCATAACCTGAACATTTTGATGATAATTAATTAGATGAATATAATAGTGATGAAGAAACAAAAGAAATAGGATGTTAATAAAGTGATAAGAAACAATTTTGTGAAAAATTTTAGGATGAAAATGAGAATCTTGATGATTATAATGATGATAATAGAAATATGGATTATGGATTAATATAAGAAGAGAATGATGAAATATTAGATGCTTTGTAATAAGCAATTTAATGCAAAGAATATGAAAAAGTGGTATGAAGAATTCTATAATTATTAGATGGAAGAAGTATAAGAAATAAATAATATTGTGAATTAAAAAGAAGATATTTAATTTGAAAAATAGAGACAATAAATACTTAATTAAAATTGTTATGAGGATGTTGTAGATATTGATGAATAAGAAGATGATGAAGATGTTAATATAAAAAAATCATCTGCATAAACTAATTAAGATGCTGGATTAGATTATTTTAATAATCCTGAAGCTTTGAAATCTTATTTATTATCTGTCCTTGGAAAAGATGTATTTGAAAAAATATATAAAATTACCTTAAAGTAAATATTAAATATAGTCTAAGAGATCTATTGAAGTATCCAGTTGAAGAAATTGAAAAAATAATTAATAATAATAATAATACTAAATTAATACCATTTTTAAAAAAGGAAGAAGCACAAATATTTATACCTTTGATGCTGTAATTAGTAATTAAGGAAAACAATTAATGATTTTAATTCTAAATTCATTCTAAATAAAATAATCTAATTTATTTTTTATGTTTATCAAATACACTAAATCATTAATCTCATATTATTATTCCTACAAATCTATAAACAATAATAATTTATTTAAATCTCTAACTTTAGAGGGCATTCATCAATATTACTCAATTGAACTCATAAATTGATGATTTAGATGAAGATAATTCAATCTCTGTGAATATACCTCAAACATTTTAATATTGTCCTAAATTTCATTAAAAAAGTATTCATAATGACTTTCAAGATAAAGATTTAGAAATTAACAAAATAGACATTAATCATTAATGCTTTATATTGTTTTAAGCAATTAATAATAAAGATTAACTTAACATTGATGACAGTAGAGAAACTCCTTGTTGAAATATTCCTATAATTACAAATAATCCAAATAATGTTAATAATCCAAAATAACAAAAACTTTAGAAAAAATCTTCATCTAAGAAAAAATAAGGAAATATTGTTATCTAAAGAATAAATTTAGAAGATACATTTTGATAATATTGTTCATGTTTAATCTAAATTTTATAAATATTTTCATTCACAATTTTTATTAAGTTTAAAAACCAATAATTTTTACTCTAATTCTTAAAATCTTTTTCATATAAAACTTATAATGAATAAAAAGAAATTTAGTTAATAAATATTAAAAATACTAATCATAATATAACTATTAATTTTACTGATTGTTAATCTGAAAGTCTTATGATATCAATAACTATTGAAAAGACACCAAAACATCAAATTATAAATTTTTTACATTTAAAATCAAAATAATTATTATACCAAATAGCTAATATCGAAAATAGAAACACTTATTTTTTGCATCTAATTATCCAATAGGTTTAATAGAATACAAGGGTAGATTTTTAATTATAATCAGATAATTAATATTAATACAATAATATTTCCATATTAAGAATTCTTATGAAAATTATTTAGTTATATTACAATATTCATTCATTATAATCTTAGTTCTTATTCACTATAAAAATCTTTATCTTCTACTTTATAACTATTACAATGAAAATTAAATGAATGATTTTAACAAGTATCCTCTAATAAGTTATCAACAACTTTTAGTATTGATTCATCATTTTATGACTATTAGTTTTCACTCAAAATATAAATTGATGGTAAGATTTATTCCTTATTGAAAATAATGTGAGCTCTAAGTGCCTTAAAAATGTTTATCCAATCATCTAATTTCAGATTTTATAATTATTTTTATAAATTATAAGATGTTTCTTCAGAGTCATCTATTAAATCAAATTAAGCCTTCCGATTTCCTAGATAAATAATTCCTAATCTAGATTGATGCCTTTCCTTATCAGCTAATAGTTCTTTTAATAACCTTATCCTTTTTTTATCATTTTTTCTTGTTAAATCAATTATGAAGGCAATATCACATTCTAATTTCCATTCTAACCATTATTACTATTTTTCAAAGAATGAAACTAATTATTTTGTTTCATGTGGTTGATCTTACTTATTAAATTCATCTAATCTTCTTAAAAAGTAAGAAATTCCATTACAGATTAAAATCTTTTATTTCGTTTCATTAATTTAAGAAATATGTCTACATTTATCATTCTCTTCTGAAGAATGTTAATTTTAAAAACAAACTTATGATATTGGTTTTCTTTTTGATGAATAAGGTATACCCATGTTTATAACTCCAACAATTAATTTTAAGTTACTTAATTAATTATAATCACTCATATTGACACAAAAAGACTAATATAACTAATATCTAACGAATACATTTTAACATAATTTATTTATCAAGGCTTTCGCTGTTTTAATTTCTAAAAATTTTAGTTTTCCTTATTAATTTATTCTATAATAATTCAGCTATTTTGTAAGAATTGTAATTGAAAATTTTAAGAAAATATCCTCTTCTTTGATAATTGCTAAAATATTTGTAAGATTAACAATAATGAAAATGGTGATAAATTTTTGTTTGCGAATTATATTCATTAACTGATAATGCTAAATTGCCTAATTTATTTCAAAACAATACCCTATTTTTCAAATCCATAAAAGTTATTCTAAAAAACATTAATGCTCATAAATAATTTCTGTAATTTTCAAAGTAAATGAATTAAATTTGATACTTTCAGAGACAAAAACTTTTTTTTAGCCAATTGATATCTAAGTCATTATATTATAGACTACATTACTTTGACATATAAAATTCAAAAATGTTTATAAAGTTTCTTTAATTAATTAAACATAACATTTTCAATTAACGAAACTTTTGATAAATATATGATTGAATAAAGTCTTTTTTTAACAATCATCAAAATTTTAGTATCTTTAAAGGCCTTTAAATTATGAATCAATGGTCATTCAATTAATCACTGCTATTAGTTTAAACTTTAATTATTATGCCAAACATTTTCAGATTCAACCTGAAAAAATATTTTTTCTTCATTATTTTTATCAATAAAATGCAATTTTGTTCTAATTATTCTAGATTTAAAATCTAAATAATCAAAATATAAAAAAGGTTAATCAAATAAGTCTTTTCCACACTATGCAAATATAAAAAGTTAATTTCAAATTAGCAACAAATATCATTTAAGGAATCTTTGCTAAACAGTTATACCCTGACCATAGACCAAACCGAAATCCTTAAATTTTGAAACGACATTTTATCTTAATATTATAGATTATTTGCTAGATGAATATTATGATTCTTTATCTTTAGGTTTAAAGTTGGAATAAGGAAAATTGAATCCAAGAATTTTCATTTCTTAAATAATTTTGACTATAATAATAATAATACTTAAAAAAGCTATTCTATTCAAAATATTATCAAGGTTAATTGCTTTTCAAAAATATATTTTTTCAATCATTCCTTGTATAACTATAGACATGAAAATTATTTAGAAAATTTCCATTTTTAATATTTTGTTAGATTTATCAGAGATAATGATTTTCAAAACAAAGAATTTTTAAATTAACAATTCCACCTTGATTTTGAATTCGGAATAAGAAAATTAGAATATAAACTTGAGATTCTAAATTCTTCATTCATCTATTCTAAAAAAATAACAAATTCTATACCTTTTAAATTTATTACATCTTTATTCTTTAATTAGAAACTGATAATTTTAACCTTAAATAAAAAAAATAATTTTATTAAGATTTCAATTTTTAATATAATTATTAACAATAAATGTATGTTAAAATGATTTAAACAACTATAAAATACATTTAGTCATTTTATTTTCTCTTATTTTCAAATAATAATAATAAAGTAAATTTTTTAGATAAATAAAATCCATAACAGTGTTAAAATTTATTTATTTATTTTATCTTCTAATAAAAAATATAATTCCAAGATAAACTATCAGTAAAACCATTATATAATTTATGTTTACAAAAGTAAATAATTTTAGAGTTATTCAAATTTAATCTAATTTCTTCATGAATTAAAAAAATCAATATGAATTAATATGAATTGACGAACATATTATTGGTGGAATTTAAAAATTGTTTTAAAATAATACTCAGTATCCATTTCGGGGTCATTTACAAAGCAATGATGGGAGGTTAAGGCATTTAAAGTTCCAAACAAGATCCTGGAAAGACACCCCCTCCCTGTGTCTTTAATTGTGAAGGGGATAATTATACCATTCAAATTTTTATTATTTATTAATACTCAGTTTCAATTTGTAATATCTGTGTTATTTCAATAATATGATAATTTATTCCAAAAAATAATGATAATTATTAATATTTAGTAGTTTTGATTTAATAAATTAAAAATTTACTTGAATAATGAATTAAAAACAGCCTTGGCTGTTCATTGCTCAAATTCATTAAATATACCTTTCTATGAATAAAAAAAATTTCTTTAAAAGTTATGATTATTAGTTAATGCTAAGAATCAACATTAATTTTTTGTTTTAATTCATTGAATTTAGACTAAACATATCGTTTTTAAAATTCTTAAATCAGGATTCAAAAACAACTTAAATAACTAACAATAAGTTTTTTATTAATAAAATAGTAATATCTATTATTAAAAAAATTTATAGTTATTGAATACTTGCAATTATAATTATAATGAAATCTATTACCAATATTTTTGAATTAAATCATAGCTGAAATGCTTATAATATTTTATCGAATGAATGATGGAAGTTGTATTTTGGCTTTTTCATCAATTTTTTTTTTTGAATTGATAAAAATTCGTAAGATATTCGTCATTACATAAAAAGTATAAATTTGAAGCCATATAAGACTAATAGTTTATAGATGCAGTTTGAGTCTCACATTTAGACATTAAATTGATAAACGAATTATTTTGTTTTGTATTTTATTACATATAGAGATTATATAATTAGAAATTTCAAAGTAAATTCAAATGAATATAAGAGAAAAATAACAGGCTTAGAGGACATCTAAATGAATTTACTTTGAATGTGGTGGTAGTAGTAAATTTAAAATAAATCTTTTTAAAAATATCTATAATGAAGTAACTAAAGAGTGAATCAATTGAATCAATTGAATCAATTAATCTTGTGTTTGAGTATGAATTAATAAATAAAAATGACTTTTTATAATCTAAAAATCTGAATTTGAAAACATTATGAAATAGATATATTCAAAGTTAAGAATATTCAAGATAATCCTTAATTAAAGTTCAAAATGCGCCAAGTAAACAAGGAAAATAGAAACCTAGAATGAAATAAGAATCTTGAGAAATTTATAGAAAATTTGAATTATATAATGTTAAGTAATATAAAAAAGGAATAATTTTGAATTTCAAACTTTCTAAATAATTGCGCTAATTCGTTTTAGGCATGAAAAATAATAATCCTCATTTAAAGGTTGAAGATTTTGTGTATTAAACTTAATTATAATATGAATATAACAATCATCCTTAAACACAAGTCCAAGGAGCTACTTCAAAAGTACATGAGCCTTTATTACAATATCCAGCAGATTAACAACATCTTCCATTGCAACAAAATACACATGTTTATTGAAGATGAAGGAAACTAGGAGCATCGCTTTAGGCACTTAAGACTTTCTCTTAAGGAATTTGAACAGCATTGACCATCATTGATGTAGCAATAAGGCATACCAAAAGGAGAGCTTTCATTTTTTATTTATTTTAATGGACTTATTTGAATATTCAATTTGCTTAAATACCGCAATATTTGGATACACCACTTTTTATAATTGAATTATAAAGTATACATATTTGTATATAAAATTTGAATTATTAATAAAAAATTTACATTCCAATATTGAGTTTTCTACACGCTTTCAATGATTAATGATATTATTCTAAATGATAGAAACTGAAAATAAGATTTTGAAAGGCGTAAAAACTAGTAGCCTAAGGATATTAAAAATTTATTATTAACAACTCATGATAATATGTCTCTCATTCTTAATATTTTACTGAATTGTGATAAAGAAATTAATATTTATTAACAATATGATTTATATTCAATATTTCTTCCTCTCTTCTATATAGAAGTAATTATTATAAATATATAAATATATATTTATAATGTAATTTGCCAGTAATTCTTGAGTGTTATTTTTGAAGAAGGCTTGACTGAATTTAGCTAATACTTGATTTGATACCTAAAAAAATGATTTATATGAGATTTAGTATCCATTTTAATTATACTATTCACAGAATTTAAATTATGATTTAATTATTTGTGTTTATATTAAAATTTATGTATTTTACATATAATTTGTCAAACAAATAATCTCGATATAGAATAATATCGATGATTGAATTATGCATTTACCTAAAAGCGATTATTTTTATTATTATTTTCGATTTTTAAAATTAAGTTGCTTTGAAAAACACTAAACTTGCCTAAAATTAATTAAGATATTTATTATTATTTAATTCATCTGAGATATTTTTATTAAGGAACACTAAATTAATTGTATAGATCATATTTAAAATAAGCATATATGGTCTATTTCTAAAAAATTATAATAAATAACTTTCTTATGTTCTTAGTAGGGGATACAGGACTATTCAAATTTTTAATAAAAATGAAAAATAATGTTGCTTTATAATTATTTTTCCTAGCTCTAAATACAGCAAATATTATAATAGACTAGTCTTTACATTGTAACTGTGTAGAGCTGAATAAGGAAGATTGCAATGTTTCATCTTAATGGTGCATTTGGAATACCACAAGTTCAGAGTGTTAGTCATATACATTTAATTGTTCCAATCAAACAAAAGAAACAAAATGTAATATTCAGAGTGATTTATGCAAATGGAATAATGGAGAATGTGTAGAAAATTATAAAGTTTGTTCTAGTTTTACAATTTAATCAAAATGTTAAAATTCAAGTGGTTGCTATTGGAGTAAAGCTAATATTTGTGAAAATTTTTCGAATTGTTCAAATTACTCTGTTGATAATTGCCCAACATAAGAATGGTGTTCAAAATATTTTGGAAAATGCGTAGATTACGTATTTGTCACATGTTCCTAATTTAAATCAATGTCAACTTGTTCTGGATTTCAGTCTAAATCAACCTATTGTGTATGGGATAATAATGATAAATGCACTTCTTTTTAATAAATTACAGATTGTTCAGATCTCAATAATTTTAATGAAGAATAATGTAAATAAAATGATTGTGTTTATGAAAACAAAGTTTGTCGATATCCAAAATGTTCAGATAATACATAGACTACTTGTTCAGCTGTAAGAATTACAGGAACTTCTTAATACACTCTTTGTTTGTTCACACAAGATAAATGCTAGGATGCTAAAGATGTATCAACCTTAACAAAAGATACTTGCTTTTTAAGAACTAAAAGAAATTATAAATGGTTTAATAATCAATGTGTTCCATGCGACAATTTAATTGATTCATCTTTTAGATTTCAATTTTGTTTTTCAGTCCTTTTATTCTTATTTATTGCAGTATGAATTTAAATTAATAATAATCAAATTATTTAATATGATTTTATTATTCATTATCTGTATAACACTAAATTTTATAAAATTAAAGAAGAAAATGTCCACTTTTTCTTATATCATCCAAAATATTGAATTTAATCATACAAGTTACCAATAAAACTTTTAAAATAAATACTATATCTGATTGTAATGCAAATTTATCCAATAGATCCAATAAATTTTTAGAAACTTCCCTTGAAAAAATAATTACCTTAAGTTGATTACATTCATTCTAACTTATACTAAAAATTTTTATACAAAATCGTTTGCTAAATTGTTATTTTTTAGGGTCATATTTATTGGTAGGACTTTGTTTAAATTTCCTTAATTTTATTTTATAAATATATATATTGTAGAAAATTATATAATTTA